CTTTGGGTAGCATCCCTTCTTATTTCATGTCCATTTTTAGATTGCCTGTGGCTGTGCGAAAACATTTTGAGAAAGTTTTTAGGAACTTTCTTTGGAAGGGGGCAGCTGCAAATAAAGGCGCTCAGTTAGTTAGGGGGGACTCAGTAAGGGCTCCTCTTTCTCTGGGATACATGGGAGTGGGAAACCTTCACCCAAAGAATATGGTTCTTCTTTCTAAACAGCTGTGGAGTTTTGAGAAAGAAGAAAATGCTCTTTGGAGGGTGGTGACGAAAAGGAAATTTGGAGTTGATTTCCTCAGAGGTTTAATTAATTAAAAACTGAATAGGGAATCTTAGTCCTTGGAAGGAGATTGCTAAGACTTTTTTTTTTTTTTTTTTTGGTAAAATGTGAGCTATAAGATGGCTACAGGGAGTGAAGTATTGTTTGGGGGATATAGATGGACTTGAAATCAAATGCAGTTATCTTCAATTTCTAAGCATCTTATTCCCAGACATTATTTGCAAATGTCTTATTCTCAAACATCTGAAACAAAACATCCAACCAAACGACCTCTTAATGAAATCCCTATTTATCTTTTTAAACAACTCTACTGTTTCTTTGTCTCCAAATTAATCAAAAGGTAGCTCCACTAGTGCTTTTCCTTTAAGGCAATAAAGTCCAGAAATATCAAATTTACATATTCATGAAAACACCAAACCATTCAGAGCTTGTTGCATAATCTGGACTGGTTCTACACCACCGAAGACTAGCAAAAAGAAGAGAGAGGTTTTGGTTACTTTCTTGCTCTTACTCTTCATATACTGTGTAAGAAGATAGATATTTGGATTTTTCTTTTCAACTTTGTTGACTCTTTATGCTTTTGCTGTTTCTGCTCTTTGTCCTCTTAGTTTATGATTTGTAATGTGTGGAAATGGACTCTTTCCTAATTAATGAATGCATTTGGTTACAGATTTTGAGGGTTTATTTTCCTTTGATTTATTAGCTGGTTTTCGAATTTCTTTTTAATTATAAAACTTTAGAGAAACCAAGAGGGTTTCCTATAACGTTATAGGCCACATAAAGTTGTCTTCATAAATTTTGAATTGATCCTAAAGGATTATAGCTCCTGAAATGTATGTATGGTGTGTATCAAGTGATCTCTGCAGCAATCGTAATGATGGGGCAGAAGTTAGACGATAGAGAATATGAAATCTAATTGAACAATGATGAATGCCAACTAACATTGTCAACCTTGCCAGGTAAATAAAAATGAAAGAAAAGGATTAGGAAAAAAAATGAAACGAATGATATTGAATGAAGCTTAAAGACATACAGGAAAAAGGAGATTAGAGAACAAACAGTAAGGTATAGGATTATTGTATTGATCGCTGGTTTTCTCCGTTTCAGGTTACTTTTGTTTCAAATGAACCAATACCTCCTGAATTCTCACGTACTGTTAAATTTGGCAATACGACTTATAGTCTTTACTCTCACAGCTTTCTACATTTAGGGCAGGTAAATCCTTCTTCTTATGAGCTATATTCTCTCCTGAAGTTGAGTTGTACTTATAAAATTTGGAATTCTTGTTACCATAAAACCCTTTTGAGTTGCAGGATATCAAATTAAATTGGAATGCTTTTATTCATTGTTTTAATCCTGTTTTTCACTTTCTCACTCCATTTAGAGTTTGTACAGTTTGTTTGTATCCTCTGAGCATTAGTTTCTTTTCATATTTTCGTTTCTTGTTCAATAATCATAAGAATAATAATAAAACCCTTCTGGTCCCTGTAATATAATCAAATTATCTTCCACTCATTTTCTACCCTCCCGCTCTGATGAGATTTTCAGATTTCTATCCTTTTTCTTCTTTTTCTTTAATTCAACTTTCATTCTAAATTGTTGGTGTAGTGTTCTTTTTTCTTTTCTTTTTTTGGTAGTAAAATCACGTTGATGGTGTTTTTGTATGGTTGTTGATTATATCTTTCCAAAGTGCTTTAGCAGCCAGTATTTATACTTTTATCTATCTTCCTAGAAGTGCTTTTTAGTCAACGAAACATAAAATCGTTTGGTGGGATTATGGAGCAAATAGCTATGTGATCATTGTGAGTTCAAAAGATACTTGTGGTTTGAGGAGCATGGCCCATTGCCTTCTGGGCACTTTCTCATTAGTCTGCTTCTTTTGGGAAAAGGGTATCCAAAATACTACTCTACGATATTCATAGGGAGCAGAAATTCCTTCAACCTTAGCCATTGTGATAGTACTTAGCCTATGTAATTGAAAAAGGACTTACAAGAGAGGACCTTGTAGCTTCTGGTGACCAAATTATCCAGTCAGTAAAGAATGCAAAATAAGCGTGCCCCAGAGTAGTAAGCCACACATCCACTAATCCACTTCTTTATTTTTGAAGTTGAAGATAAGATAACCAATGGAGGAATCTAAATGGCCAAATTGACTTGCCAACTCAAACCTGGTTTGATACTGTTGCAAACTTTAAGAGCAAGGGTCATTTGTTGTATGCGAGATAGAAATGTGTAAGTTTTAGAATGTGACACATTTTCTAAATAAAAAACCACAGATTATGGCTGCTACCTCTTTTGACCTTATTTTTGTATCCTGCTTGTTGATGCATACATCATGTTTGCTAGCAATGATGGAATGGCACGTTGAAGATCCCTTTTCATCCTGAACGTGAAGTGCTTTTCTTTTATTAACTTTTTAATGTAAAATCTCTGACATGTTTCTGGAGTTTCACTTCTGTGAACTTTCTTAATTTGTAATGTTTAAAACCGTTCAGAGTCGTGATTAGCCTTGTCTTGCAGAATGCTGCTCATGATTCCTTAAGAGAAGCACTTAGTAAAGGAGAGTTCAACTCAGGTAAATGTGCATGTCTATTCTTTTCTCTTAACCATCTAGATTGGAAAAAATTGGGTAGCATTCCATTCCCAGTTTCGTCTGTAGAGTCATCTCTGTTTACTGTCAAGTTTGATGTCACAAACTGGATTGGATAGTACTGTTTTAAGGAAGTAGCATTATATTTGAATTGTTTACTTATGTTCACAGTTGTCACGCTGTCAACTTATCGTCTATATTCATATGCATTCTTCGGGACTCCGAGGTTTACCTCTAGATTGCTTATTTAATATTCGATATATCCCTTTTCCTTACAATGTCCATATTGGCCTTGCTCGGACTTAACAACTTGTAGGATGTAGTTTAAATTGATGGTTGTTGCTAATTTACTTTAAACTGTTCTCATGAAGTTACCTGCACCAGACTGATGAATCTTGATTCTTGAATTTCTTGTTTCATTCATCTACGATGTCTTTTATTTAGAAAAAAAGACGGATTGAGAAGACCCATGGAATGCCCATCTGTCTGAATTCTTTCTATTTGCATCGAGTCTGACATTCACTGGGAGAGCATTCATTCAATTCGCTTATTTTTTTTAGTAATCTTGAGTTTTGATTCTCATTTGTTCATGCCAGCTAAAACTCTTCGAAACGGATTGTCTGTGGATCCTTGTACTCCCACTGGGTTCTCTCATACTTCGGAGTCTGAAGCACCATCTCCAAGCGTTATGGTGGTGGAAAGGAATAGGTATAATATATCATCTTTCCATTCTAAGGGAAACTTCTCTGAGTGCAGATCTGTTGCTTTAATGCTGCTGCAAAAAGGAAAAGGTTGTACAAATCTTCATATGCTTCACTTTTTAAAACCCTTCTCATACCGATCTTTCTTTTAGAAGTGTGCATAATACTTCCTCCTTTTTCTCTTTTGTTCGCCCCTGTAGAGAAATGCACCGATATGAACTGCCGAGTAGGATCCATTTTCACACCAAAACTTAGAGGCAAATTTTTGGCGACAGAGAATTTCTTTTACACATCAAAAGTATGATTTTCTTCCCCTGTTACAAGTATATTGTGTGCTTCCTCAGTTTCTTCACTGTGTATTTGTATTCTTTAGTATGTTTCTTGTTCAATGTTTATCTTTCATGTGTTATATATGAACCTTTCTGTGTTTTTGTCACTAGTTCTTTGGTGTTGGACCGAGGGCTTTTCTTTCAGACCTGGTGGTGGCTGGACAGGAGTTCTGTGGTGAGGACTGGGTAAAGTTGAAGAAGAGATACAAGCTGCTTGATGAAGAAGATTTGGCGCGGTATTGCTTCTCATCAGCGTATATCGTGGCTCTACTTCATGACAGTCTTGGAATTGGATTAGAGGATAAGGGGTAGGCTGCTGATCTCTTGCTAGTTATATGTAAGTAAATATATATTAGTTGGTGATTCTTAGGTTTTGAGAACTGTATGAATAGCAGCATCACAGCTGCAAGTGAAGTGCAAAACATAGCAGTGGATTGGGCATTGGGAGCATTCATCTTGGTGCAAAGCACAGCTGCTGCTGCAATAGAGACAGAACCGAAGAAGCAATGGGATTGGATTGCAGAGATGCAGGGGTATGAGATGCCCAAAAAGCTGTCAATAATAGGGGTATCAATTATGTTGTTGTTCATAGCATGGTTGGTATCATCAAAGTGGAGGAAACCTCAGTTGAAGACGATTTACGATCTAGAGAAAGGACGGTACATAGTGACCCGAGTGAGTAAATGCTGACTGATGTTTGGCCAATCTGCTGCAATCTGCAAGTCCCAAGATGTTTGAGTGAGATGATTGATTGTATATTATGTGTTTTTTGGTTCACATCATCTCCTCATGTGTTGTAGGGTGTGTGTCACTTTTGTAGAAAAAGCTTTCCCTTTTATAGCATATAGCGGGAGGACAGGCCGCCATTCCCATTTCCACTTCCGTTGCCTGTGCCGAAGTTCGGGTGAAACGGAATGAATTTTGCAGATCCCAGTTGCAACTTGTTTCAATACTCTCATTCTTATAGTCTACGCTATACTTAATTCTATCACTTCATTTGTAACGTCCCTAATTTTCTTCAATCTAATTAGTGACGTTACCTTACATTCGAATGACAAAAGTACGAAAATTCATATAAGATGACCTCTATAGCAACGGCATGTTCATTATTAAATCAATAATCACAATCTATCTGGAAAAGTCAATCAACAACTAACTAGGAGAAATCTATTATTTGAAAGAATCTCAACACGAAGTCTATTGGTACTACAAGCCCTCCTTTAGACTTTCATGGCCTTCGCAGCGTTCACCGTCAACCGTACATAGGAGCCTTGCCCTTACCTGAAAATATAGATAGCACGTGGCTCAAGTATTATATAAAATACCCAGTAAGTCGCCCCACTGTTGGGGTCAAGCATACAAAACGCATTCAGGACACAAACATTTCACACCCACAGTATACATGCACAATCATAAGTAAAGAAAAGCGAACATGAGGGGGTTGTCTTCCATTTCCCTTTTTACCTGGCCTTAGGCCTTGGCTTTATCCGGGCTGAGTAGATGCATGGTACTCCTTCAAGCATGGCCCACGCACGTCGATGTGGGCCCACCAGGCAGGTTTGTACACAAACCCCCTGGGCCTGGCTTGGTCGGGTCGCATGACATACGTTACTGGACACCACAGAAAAATGAGGAGGCCTGCATGATATCATAGCGAGCATAATATCGAGTGTACGCGTCCATACTATCATTATATAACTAGCGATAATCCCATACATAAGACACAACGTGCACGGGGTCCCTATTGCTACCCCCATGGCATTACAAGTACATCATATCATTTCCCTCGTCGCATTACATAGCACGACTCACCGAAACATCACATGAGTGTATTGTAGTACACCAGGGGAGACATCCATGGCATGTAAACTCCCAACACATTCATGACATATCAATTAATTTCATGCCTACAAGGTAATACAAGGTAAAACAAGTCAGGGCAACAACATCGCATAGCATGGCATAGATGATATTTCACCCCAAGAAAATACTTAACATAGCATTCATGGTATACATTGGCATTGCACAGCATACGTTGACAGCACACATGGTACGTGCGAAGGCGACAGTGCACACACCACTACACATAGATAATTAACGCCAGCAGGTTACTTATCTCTTTGGCCTTGGCCGAAGTCACTCGCGACGCTTAACTCCGGCGCCTAACTACCCCTATAAGATCACATGATACACTTTATAGCCCTCTCAAAACTAGCCCTTATGCCTAACTAGCAAGGTACGTTCTTATCACAATCTGGTTTTATCGAAGTGGAGTTATACTGACCTTAGATGGTTGAAACAAGGGTGGAAATTATTCGTATACCGAGCCGCTAAGCCGAGCCGTCGAACCGCCAAGCCACGCCGCGGAATGCAACGGAGCTGCCGACGAAGCCAAGTGCCGAGCCGACAGAGTCAAAAGGGCTAAGCCGACGAGCTGTGAAGCTTACTGACGGCACACGGTTTCTGGACGCGTCTGGTGTTGCTGGTCTTGGGCCGAACTAGAGACGCGGCCCAGCAATGGTGTCCGAGCGTGTGCCGCGAGTTACGGACCGCACGCTGGCATACCCGAAGAACCGACCCGCACCCGCTGCTCTGTCTTCCTCGCCCGAGAGTCTGACGAACCCTAATCGCGGAATCTGACTGCCGCCGCAGGTGAGATCGTCGTCGTCCGTTCTTCCCTGACGGTGCGTCTGTCCTCCTTGTCCTGACGTACCCCGGCGTTGGTTCGCTCCCACCTAAGGCTCGCAACGTCTGAAGTCTCGCAGCGTTATCGATCCTCCACCTCAATCTTACTACTTCTCTCTCGCGGTACAGAACGACTCAACGGAGGACGGTTACTTAGATACCCTAGGGTTTAATGTTAGCAACCCTCGCCGAAAATCGCAAGATTTTCAGCGCTTTTTTTTTGGAATGCGTATCGTTACATCATCCTTTCTTTAATGCAATCTAATCAAATTTAATACAATAGTGATATTGCAATAGTTATCAGACCATTCACATATTTATTAGAAGGCTAAATTAGCTTTCATGCAACGATTGTAATGGTCTTTCATTGTGATGCCTCTTTACTTTACTTGAAATATAGAAGTAACATATGGTTACATATGGTTTGAGCATTTTAAGAAATACTTAGTGACCCTACTATTGAGGTCACGGAATGCAAACACGTGCCATCATGATTAGGGACCTATCATTTAAAATCATCATAGAGGTAGCCTCCAATTCGGACAAATTGGATGTGTAGTACTTTCCTACACATGACTCACACGTTTGAGCGGTTCGCATATCCCTGCACCCATCATAGTCAGGCTAGTTGGCTATAGCCGAACGTCCTAAGGTACAACAAACCCTGAAATATCATGCAAGGCATGATGATGGTCATCGTGTACGCGTCCGTACTCATCATATAAAAGTGGAAGTACATTATTATAAAAAGGGAAGTAACCCAATATAAATGAACATATAAGCATGAGGTCCCCATAGTTTTCATCTTGAATCATTCATATGACATGACCTCACACATCCTTCACATGTTACTCTAGGTAATATGTATGCATAAGCCTTCATGCATTCATTATTGATAACATCATTTAGGAGTTGTGTATCAGAAAACTCTTCATCACAATGCAACGTGATATCTCATACATCTTATGTCATCATGTCATTATGCATCATCATCCTAGTGTATCGTAGCATCATAGTACATCATATCATCACAATACACCATAATGTCATGTCAACTCACATTATCATAATTTGAATATCATCCATGAAAGGTTAGATGACAGACTCTTCCAAAGAACCATACAGTCACCTTAAGTTTGGGAGAACACCCCCACGTATACTGCCCAGCTACTAGATAAACCTACGTGATCCCATGTCCCCTCTCAAGATGGAAACACAATGACCCTTTTCACAAGACCCATGATCATTTTCATAAGGTTTGGGCACCTAGTTGTCTTAACGCACTACCCTAATCGATCTAGGTCTAGCTTGACAATATTGGTATATGAGTGGAAATGGTAGTAGACTCTGATGACATTGTTCATACTGTTAATAACTTGAAAAGGTACCTCGATCATTTTTGAATGTCGTGGAGGTTTACTAGATTCTTAGGGGTGTCTAGGCTATTTAAATCTCGTCTCTCGTTGCCAAGACGTACATAACTTACTCCTTTGACTCATGTTATTGATAGTAGAATGTACACCAATGTAATAAGTACCAATTTGATTAAAAAGTTACAATTCCAACCCACCACCATCCTATACGTTACAAGCTTCAATGACTTATTGATAGTAGAACAATGAAGGTAGTTTCTCAAGGTTTAATTTCTTTTACTTTGTAAAAATATAAAGATAAAGAAGATAAAAGATTCTTTATGACGTGTTTACCTATGTTTGTTGGAAACATATTACTTGGCCAATCTTAACAATTTGACTGGAAGATCACGTAGGAGGGGTATTTGAATAGTTATTCTTTTATAAAATGTAATGACCCTAACTTTCTATATACTTAGAGTCGCTACCGTCATCATAATGTAATCATATTGTACGGAAATAAGCGTTTAAACTTTATCATAAAATATAAACTTCATCTTAAAACACTGTCATGGACTTATGTGTTTGAAAACATCTTTAAAACGACACATCAAAATACTAAATGAAATAAATAAACAAGTTAAAAACATCATATTCTAACATAAGTGTAAGAAATTAAATGCAACTACCCTATGCATGTGTCATGGTCCCGAATTGCGGCGGCGTCATCAGCCGTACAAGGATGTCTTGCCTTTACCCGAAAAATGAAAGTACCACATGACTTGAGTAATTTAAGAAATACTCAGTATGCGACTCCTTATCGAGGTTAAATACTACACATACAATTTTATGAATGAAACTTATCATAACAGTCTATTTTTCTACGATGGTTATCCTAGCGGACAACTTGGGGGAAATGCGTCCCCTTACTAATCAATGGTCCACACATGCGAGTATGGACCCACCAGTCGATTTGCACACCTCTCAGGCCCCTTTCTGGTCGGGCGAGCATTCTTTAGTAGCTATTGATGCCAGACACCCGTTAGGAATAGCGACTGTCACGACATCATTATGATAAACATAATGATCGTTTCTGTGCCTCGTAATGCACGCGTCTGTACTATCGTGAAGGAGTAGGTGTATCCCTTGTTGCATGAGTACACAATAGTGCATGAGGTCCCAACATTTTTTCATGTTCATCATCATTTAATACAATCCCGCTAGCGTCTTCTTCATATCATATCATTTTTCATATCTTTTCTCATATCTTTCATGCGTGTATCGAGATTGTATTTTATGCCAATTCGTCATTTTGCATGTCAATATATCATATCATTCATGTTACACATATGTCATATCATAATGTTTTCATGCTTCTAGACATAACCATTCACATTATACACACATCACATCATATCATATATCATAACAGTCACATAACATATCTTGAGCACACGTTCAACAGATCATAGCTTAACATATCATATCATAAACATATCAATTCATCAAATACAACATAACATTCAAATATCATAACATATACATATCATTTCATAACAGTTTGTTTATATGGGCATATGACACGTGTGAAGCCACGAACACGTGTCATCATAAAGCACACAATTATAACCAAACAACGGTAGGGACACTTACTTGGTTGGCCTAGGCCGAAGCTTCTATGACCCTTGACGTTAGTTTAAGACTGTTCTCTGAATTTTAATTCTACCTGAGAGTCCAACAATCGTAAATTAAAATTCTACTATGGGAATTGGTTCACCTACTTTTGCCTAAAATAATTTACACCTACACCTAATAATTTAAACTTGACTCCAAAAATTTAACTAGCCAAAAGGTGACTGTATAATTTAAACCTACTCCTAATAATTTAAACTTCACTCCAAAAAATTTAACTAGCCAAAAGATGATCGTACTAACCTTAAACACTTTCGAAGAATTGAAATTAGGAGGAAAGGGTCCGAGCATATCAGACCCAAGTCAGATCAACCAAGATGTTGAAAAAAGGAATTAACCCAAGGGAAAGCTCTGATATGAAATCAGCCTAAGGGAAAAGTCTGATGCCGAATGATAAGAAAATCACTACAAGGGGAGTAAGATTCAGATTACCTTGTTGATCAAATATTTCAAGGCAAAAACATTGTTTGAGATTCGAATCACTCTACAAGCAAGATCGATCATGTCTAGCTTGAATAATTTTTTTGATCAAATATCTCAAGGCAAGAACACTTGTTTGAGATTCGAATCACTCCACAAGCAAAATTGATTATGTCGAGCTTGAATGATTCTACATGCAACCTAAATTACCTAAAATTGCAAAGAAATTTAGCCATTGGCTAAAGGAAAGCACAAATGCTCATTTTACTACATTTTCCAAGTAAAATAACATCATGACTTTAGCCTCAAAATGAAACTAATATTCTAAGAGTTGTAACATTCATACTTTAGGATCATAATTAATCATTAGGTAAATGTAACCTAAAGTAAATTAAAAGTCTTACAATATATTAATGAAATACAATAACTCCAAATTACTCTAAATTGTAATCCACCCAAAATTTATAATAATGAAACTTCCATTCTTCAATGTGGCATGAATTGAAATATCTTTTGATAATTTCAGCAGCATTTTCTTCACCTCTTCAGCAGCATTTTCTTCACATCTTCATTGAAGTATATTGTATGATTGATGTCTTGATGTTTCTTGGTTCATATCATGTTGGCCTTGAACTGTGAGAATGTGTATTCTTCGACGGGCTCTAACGGTTCAAGTGAGATGTTAAAATGAAGTGAGGGGTCTCCTTTTTTAAAGTGGAGGCCAACCCCCACTTCTCGGGTTTAAGCGATGTGGGACAATTTTTTTTTTAAATTTTCTAATTTTTGAGTTATTACATAAAAGATGGTAGAAAAATAACTCTTATACCTTTGAGTTTTTTTAGATGTATTAGCCGATAAATTGAAGTTGGAGGGGAGGGGGAAGCTTGATGAAGAAGAATTGAGAAAAAAAAAAAAAACTTCAACGTTGCTTCAAGAATTAACGAAGGATAGAAGAAGCTTCTTTTTTAATTGGATGATTGAGTTGGGATGTATTTTTCATTGGGAGTGATTCCTATCTCAAAAGAAAACAAAATTACATCCAAGGGGAAATGATCTTTACCAAATTCTTAAAAGAATTAGAATCCATGTCAATAAAATTAATCTTTTGAGAGAATTTTGAGTACATTTTGTAGATGATTACTTTCTGATTTGAGATTAATTTTTTTTTTTTTTTTTTAAAGAGACCCAAGTTTGTTCCACAAGTTTCACCTAAACTTGTTACACGAGGCCAAATAGATTCAGCAAACATTCCTTTCTCATGGTTAAGTGAGGAAGAACCCTTTCAAGAATTGGAAGTTAAACATCCGTAAGATTTGAATTCAAAATTAAAAGAGGTCCGAAGCAAAATATTTGAATTCAAAATTAAAAAGAGAAAAGAAAATTGGTAAGGTGAGGCGGGCACAGTACGTAGATATTGACTTGAGGCGCAACGGCGACGCATTATTGAAAATAAGGTTGAGGGCGTTGGATTGGAATGGAGGAAGTTTGGAGCGAAGAAAACTCCGCCTATACATAGCCAACCAGGTCCACTCACCTCCAAATTCCTTCTTTTTTTAGGTTTTTGTGGAATCTTGTACAAAACACGGACTTACCCATCTTCAATTTTCCTTTCCATTCCGCACCTAACGCGTTTTCTCTTCCTCTTCCACCTTTCTTTTTCCTTTTCTCCTTCATTTTTTGTCTTCTCAATTCACTCTATTCCTCTTCTTTCTAGTTTCATCCCTGCAATTCTTACCATTCGCCTCTGTAGGGTTTCTTTCTTTTCTTGAATTGATCGCCTGAGTTGGGTTTTTGGTGATATAGGGGTTTTGAGGACAATGAGCGATCATCTTGTCCTGTATGTTGACCATTTGATTCCACCAGTTGCTCCAGTTCAACCTGTGTCCGACCCGGTTGACCCGGTTCCTTCCGCACCGCGTGAGGGTGTTTCTGACTCGGCTGCGGCTATTCCTTCCTGTTCTACTGCCACTGCGGATGATCGGACGGTGGAGCAGGATGCACCCAATGAGGAGGACCCTCTGATTCAGGCGGCGGAGTGTCGCATTTGTCAGGAAGAAGACACACTCAATAATTTAGAAACTCCCTGCGCATGTAGTGGTAGTCTTAAGGTATTGACGCCTCACCCTTTTCTGTTGCTTCTTAAATTTTTACGTGAATACACAGGGGACACCCTTTTACCGTAGTTTGTTGATTTGACTCTGTTTTCTTTCATGGCGTTGGATTTATGAATGCTGTTTTTGCTGAATTGGAAACTTCGGATATAGTTCTTTCATACTGGTTCATTTGGGTTTAGTAACTTTCTTCTTTTTACTGTCTTTGGAATGGGTTCAAGTCTATGTTTATTGCTTTGATTTTTGTTTTTTTTTGGTCAATTTTTGTGTTGCTTCCAATGTGGTTTAGTTTTCGCGGAAGCAAGCTGGAAAAGGACATAAAATAATAAGTTTATCTAGTATTTTCCAAAACTGTGATGTATGAGAGTTTGCCTGAATTTTACAGTGTCTTGTTGAGAATTGACATGCTCATATCTTGAGAGGATTTATATCGTTGATGTGGGGAGGATTTTTGTGTTGTTTGGTGGTCATTTGTTTTACTCTTTGTTTGGTCAATTGAATATTTCTTTATAAAATTTTCCCCAATGCTTCGTTTGTGATGTTTAATATCATCTCTCGTCTAATAGTTTCGTCATAAGAGTAACGCTTTTGCCTAAACTCTTCTGTTTGCATAAATTTCTATGATCGATGGCCAATTTTATGAGCTGTATGTGGGGGTATGTGCTGTGTCTGAGTTATAAAGTGGCTTGATAAAATTTGACACGAATTATGGTTATCATTCATGATGTCATGGTAGAATTATAGTGATCCATGAACTCTATCTTTTTTTTCTCTCCAGAATGTAACTAAGTTTGGTTATGCCCTTAGAATTGACCAATATGATCTAGTATAGGAAAATTTATCGGGCGTGCTTGTTTATTAATCTTTTGGCACGTGTCTGATGAATGTTTGTGTTCAGTATGCTCATAGGAAGTGCGTTCAACATTGGTGCAATGAGAAAGGAGACATAACTTGTGAGATATGTCATCAGGTATGCATGATGTTTTGATTTGATATTCGGCTATTATAGTATTATTTTGTAAAAAAATTTCAAATAAGTTGCTAATATTATCTTTATTCTTTAGCTTCCGTGCAAGTTTTCCTCCTACTATATTTTTGTTGAACTCATTACTCTTTGAATTTTGAAAAAAGGCATGCTTTACACCGGTAGTTCAAAATTTTCATTATTAGTGATTTAAAATGTGCATAAAAAATGAACGCGTACGAATGAGAGGGAGAAAACCATATGATTCGCAATTTGCTAGGGTTGCTGTTGTAGGAGAAAACTGTAGGACTCGAGAACGAGACTTTGCTACTTTAGAAACCTCGTGGATGATTGGAGACTCTTGCCCGTTTACTTCTCTTCGTACTTGTCTGATTGCCTCTACTCTCGACCAGTCTCTTTTGTCTATCCTCTCCGAGCCATACCTTTTGTTCGTCTTTTCCTTTGATACATCCATCTCTGAGAAAAGCATAACAGTGGTCAGTGGTTTACTATAGCGCACACAATGATTTGGATCTTTTTGCAATGGGCTGGATTCCTTTTTGGATAGTTTGAATCTGACATCATAGAAGATTGTTCCAAGTCCTTGAGGAGAAGATGGGCAGCATGTCAATTGGTGGATTCTTCCCTTCCTCATGCTCAACCAAAAGTAATGTGGATGCTACTTCGAATATGCTGTCTGTCAGAGATGGTAGAGGTAAGGAGTGTCTACCATGAAGATGCAGGTTCATTAGTGTTGAAGTGTGATGATGGATGAGGCATTGGTATCAAGGGAGGCATTGATGTTTCCTCAGACTTATGTCTTAAGACATATCTCTCGCTGTTGGAACTTCGTTTGTTAAATGAAAAGTTGGTTCGATGTTTTAGTCTTTCCAAATTTTGAGCGTGGGGCTCTCAATTCAGGACATTGGACTCTTTTTTCTGCTCTGTCTGTGATTCTTTCCCCTTTATCTTTACGTGTTTCATGTTATGTTGAATGGTATCAATATCATGTGATTTTCATTTGCAGTTTCTTTTCTGATGATGTTTTTCTTGTTTCAATTCCTCATTGATTGATATTCCGGTACGCTTTATTCAATTGCCAGTCTTATCAACCTGGATATACTGCACCCCCTCGTTCTGAAGAAACTGTGATTGATATGGAGTAAGTTCAACCTTCTTGTTATTTGCAATTTGCATGTGAATGACTTTATCAATAATCATGCATCTGAACACCCACAACCGTTTTATTTTCATGTAATTTGTACACGCATTTGAAATATTGACCTGGATGTGGATATGCACAGGGGACGATGGACTATCGCTGGTAACCCGTTAGACCTTAGAGATACTCGGCTACTGGCCATTGCGGAGGCAGAACGTAATTTCTTGGAAGCTGAGTATGATGATTATGCTGCTTCAAATGATAGTGGAGCTGCATTTTGCCGATCAGCTGCCCTTATTGTAAGTTTTCTTATGTTAATTCGTAGAACTCTTGTATTTTCCATGAAACTCTGATGATTGATGAAGTATTTGATTTTACTGGCTAGCTATTAGCCCTTCTCCTTCTGCGACACGCATTGACCATAACTGATCCAGACGGTGATGATGACGCATCTGCCTTTTTCTCTGTAAGCGAGATGGGAATTCGTTTTCTTAAATTTGAAAGAACAATAGTATAATCGGAAGGATATTTATAATCTGGATGTACCTTTGACAGATTTTCTTGCTTCGTGCTGCTGGTTTTCTTCTACCATGCTACATCATGGCTTGGGCCATCAGTATCCTGCAACGTCGTCGACAAAGACAGGTTGGTTGGCGATTAAGTTCTTTGGGTGTATTTTTGAAAATTCTCTCTTAACAACTGTAGGTGTTGCCATCTCTTAAATAAGTAGATATTTTGGCATATATTGTAGAAAGCAAGGATGTTTGTGTAGGGGGTAGGCAAAATTGTTGGTCTTTAAGAATGTTGTTGACACTTAAAAGTGTGGTGGTTGTGAACCAACAGGAGGCGGCAGCACTGGCTGCAACACAAGTGGCGTTTGTGCTACAACATGGACAGCATAGAGGTTTACAATTTGCAATTGCATCAGCAGGACCGCCCCTCACCCCTCACCCACACCCACACCCACACCCACACCCTCACCCTCACCCTCACCCTCACCCACACCCACACCCACACCCACACCCACACCCTCACCCTCACCCTCACCCCCACCCCCACCCCCACCCCCACCCACACCCTCACCCTGCTGTTTGAACCACAACCAAACATGTAATAATACTATGTTGTTCATACATGGAAAACCTTTCTCGTGTCGATACAAACAATTTCCCCCAGTTGAATTTGCTGCTGTAATCTCTGGATTCTTTTTGTTTTCATATGGAAAACAAGGCCAATATTTAGAAGGAAAAGGAGGGGATTTCTTCATGTACCGTATTTCCTTCAAAGATTTTGCTGTTTATTGTCCAGTTTGTTTGGATCGTAAGAACTTCATTCAGTTCATCAACATATGGCTCATAAATTACTCAAATACGTGTTAAAAGAGATGTTGATACAACCTCAAGGTACTCGGAATGCGTTCGATATTAACATTATTGATATAACCCACTTTATAATTGTTTCAAATGATTGGATCTAAATCGTTTAGGTGAAGACATGTGAATGTGGGTATCCTATACAATGAGTTTGTTCAAGAATGAACCACAAAATATTTAATATCTCTTATAAATTCGTTAATTGAAAAGATTAGTATTTAACAAGATGATCTTACGCAATTCGATCTTAATTTTGAGTGAGTTATGAACTCTTAATTCTTTGATTTGCATAACTAAAAATGATTTTTTATCAAATTCAATATGCCTAACATTTTAGGGACTTGATCAAATACGGAGCTGAGAGCAATTTTTTTTTCATATAAAGGTAAGTAGACTAGTTGTTATTTTAAGTATTGATTTCTGAACTTGAATAATGGGCCCTATCCTCTCCCTAGCTCAACTGAGATTTTGTTTATTGTTGAATTATAAACAAATTGTTCGTTATAGAATTAGTAATACTTAAGGTCTCAAATGTAATTGTAAGGGTAAAATTGACCTTTAACTCCATTGTAATTATGAACCACTCGCGAATGATCAATTTATTTATAATGATTATATTAATTGATACAACTAATTCTACCGGCACAAGAGTGCAATTCTTATTATTAATGAATAAAAATAGTTAATTAAAGAATTTAATTAATTAATTTTGTATGATTGAAGCTCATAATCCGGGTCTGTTCACAGTAATACTACAAAATCAATTTAATTGAAAAATAATTTAAAGTATCTAAATTAATAGTTAATATATTAATATATTAAATATAAAAGAAAAAATATATTTAATTTGAAATATTCAAATTAATATTTAATATATTAATATAACAATATTAAAATAGAAAAATATATTTAATTTAAAAGGTTGAAATTAATATTTTATATATGGAATAGAATGTTGCTTAAAAAAAAAAGGTATTGTATTGATTAATTAAACTTATTAATATAGTTGAAAACATGTTTTAAATTTCTATCCCAACTTGCTTAGAAAGTCTAGTGCTTATGGTGATCATTCCTTAAATATTACCACCACTTTATTTTAGGTTATTACCACCACTTTATTTTAGGCTTTCCTAGAAAGGCTGGTAATCGTTCCTTAAATTGGCCGAGTTGATACGACATATGAAAGACCCTGGAAAAGTCCAACTTGTGATCTGAAGAAGTTCCAGATCCTTCCTGATTGTGGGCTTCGCCCACAGCTTCTTCCTAATACCGTTTGAGCTTATACCCAAATCCATGGCCTCAGAAACCCAATTCCCCTGAAATTTCCTCAGAAAACAGAGACCTGTCTCTCTTCTCAACTCGAGAATGGAAAACGAAAATGGAAGCGAGAGGATATTGGTGGTGAACCTTGTTACACAGAGTATGATTGTGATCGAGGGACGTTCCAGGTTGGAAGCGCTATTGCGCGATTTGGGTGGGAAGGAGGGCCACCCATCGGCCTCGAAGGCGTCCATACAAGCGCTTCCCACCGTTCAGCTCAAGGCAGAGGAGCTGCCTTGCGAGTGCCCCATCTGTTTGAACGAGTGGGAGATGGGTTGTTTAGCCAAGGAGCTGCCTTGCACACACAAATTCCATCGCGATTGTATACAGAAATGGCTTGGCATCCATGGGACATGTCCGGTTTGTCGGTACAAGATGCCTGTTGATGAGAAGGAAAACGCCGGCGGAGTGGAGGCAAGGAGGGCGAGGGAGATTTGGGTTGCCTTTTCTTTCAATAACGATGCGAGAGTTGAGGGTTAGAATCCATTGCTCTGTTTGTGGGTTTGGAATTATTGTGTATACACTTAAATAATTCAAAAATAAAATCCATTTGTTTACATAATCTTCCTCCAATCACCTCAAATTAATTAATTCTAACAATATCTAACTTTGTGTTTTGGATGGAAATAATTATTTCAAAAATATTTTAAAATACATTTTAATTTTCAAAATTTTATTAATATCTTCCCACAAATATTCTTCCCCACTCAAACCTTGAGTTAATATTGTTATTTATTTATTTATTTATTATTATTATTTTTATAAAAGATGGAAAAAATACTCTTACAATTAAGATGTGGATGTAACCATTTGGTACATTTTTAAAATAACATCATACATCATTAATGACATCACCATCATGTCATCATCAATTAACGTTATAATAATATCACATATCATCATAACTTCATACATCATCATCATTATATCTCCTCATTATGTCATCAACAATTAAAGTTATCATAATTTAGCTAAAACTCATCACATCATGTAAAGCGTAAATGATACGTGCCAACACCACTTTTGGTTGGTGTTGTCATATATAAGATAAGTCTTCCAACCGAGCTGATAGAAAGGCCATGTAATTCTGCTTAAGGAGTCCAACAATCATAAGCTTGGACCCTTTTGTACTAGTTGCAACTCTTCGACAGCGTTTAAGGTTAATGTGACTACCTTTTAGCTAGTTTAAATTTTTGGAGTCTAGTTTAAATTATTTTATGCAAAATTAAGTTTAGTTAATTTAAATTATTAAGTTAGTTTAAATTATTTTATGTTATACTAGTTGAGCCAATTCCCATCTTAGAATGCTAATTTATAATTGTGGAACTCCTTAGGTAGAATTAAACCTCAGAAAGTAGCGTTGAGCTAACATCAAGGAGTTGTAGTAGTTTCGGCCTAGGCTAACTAAGTGGTCATACTATCAGCTCAGTTGAAAGACTTGTTATATGTATAATAACATGTGCCTAGTAATCCTTGCATATGTCATGTATGTTGATATGATGTACTGTGAGGACATAATATGTTATAATGATGTGATTTGCTAAGATATTATGCTGTGTTATGATGATGCATTATGTTATGATGATGTGATGTTGTAACACCTCTAATTTTCTAGACCTAATTAGTGACGCCATCCATGCATAAATAAATCATTAAGCGGAAGCTCATCATAAATAACTTTGGAAAACACAATGAAGTCTTAACGTAAAGGTTTAAAAATCCAAACCAAACATGTATCTGAGAATAAAACGTTCCGTAATTGAATTCAGAAAAATTCTAAATAAAAACAATGTTCAATGCTTTAACTTAACAGTCAAATAAACGTAAACTACTAATAATACCCCCTCCTCAACTTCCATGGTATCCTCAGCTTCATCGTCAGCCGTACATTGGTGTCTTGCCTTTACCTGAAAAATGTTGGTAGTACGTGGCTTGAGTATTTTATAAAATACTCAATAAGTCACCCCACTGTTGGGGATAGAAATACAAACACATACAACATATGAGCGGGAACTAACTTTTCGTAAACTTTACATGACCTTGGGTGCTTTTCTATTCTGGGTAGGGTTGGATGTGTGGTACTCCTTCACTCACGGTCCATGTACGCGCACATGGACCCACCAGGCAGGCTCGTATACGTACCTCTAGGCTTGGTTTGGTCGGGCACAACGTATTACACGTTGCCGGACACCACAGAATAGAAAAGGCTCGCATGATATCATGGAAAACATAAATATCGTATTTCATCCTCTCATAACTTAAAAGAAAAGTATCCCGATGCAAGTGAAAACATATGCATGAGGTCCCTTAACATACCTAACATGACATTACATAAGCATTACTAACATTACATATACATTTCTTACATTACATGGCATATCACATAACTTACATTACATGACATATCATATAACATGAAAATACGTTCCAATTCCATAAGTGTTTCATAACATAACAGTCAACAGTCAACTTAATCCATACATCACATAACATAAACAGTCGACAGTCAGCACAATCTATACATCACATAGTTATATCACATAAATATGGTGCATGCAGGGGCCACAGGGTACGCACCATCATACAACATGTAATAAGCTAACTCCAACAGTAAGGTCACTTACCTCGATGGCTTTGGCTGAAGTCACTCACAACAAGCTAATTCCAATGGTTAATGATGTCCTATAAGAACCATGTAACATATTTAGGAACCTTTCATAACCTATTCTAGCTAAACCTCATGTTAGTTAATAAAGGAAGACCCTAACACAATTTGGTTTGACTATTAAGGACTATACTAACCTCATAATGAAAAAATAAGGGCAGAAACGACTTCAGAAGGGCTGAAAACCTAGGAATCGATATATTATACATTGGGTTTTATGTCCTAAAACTCATAATTGGTAAACAAAAACATATTCTATTTTTCAATAAAGTTATTATGGATGTTTATTCAGTAAAGATGGTTATTGAATAAATTGAATTTTACGATTATTAACCTAAATCTAATAAACTAAGAACACTCTAACTATAGTATGATTATTTGAACTATATGTAGAGTCATAACAGTGTTTCAAGTTCAAGTATATAGTCAAAATAATCTATAATACAAGGATAAGGCTGAGTACCTTATCCTGGGAACACTATGGATGCGACCCACTTTTATATATGATATAAACAATGTGATCACTAAATTGTACATGCAGAGACATGTGAGTGGGGGCGTCCTATGCAATGAGTATTGCATAAGATCAGACCATGAAGAAAATCACTTTTACTTTTTAATGTCGTTTACTATTGAGACTGATTTTTTTTCATTCGATGACTTAGGTAACTCGATCTTAATCCTGAGCTAACCATGAACTCCTGTTTATTCAGAATTATCCTTAGATTTGCATGAGTGAGAGTGGCTCGAGTTCACCGACTCAATAAGCCTTCCATTTCAAAGGTAAGACTGGGTGAATAGCTAGGAACATAGGGTGCAAGATGGAACTCACTCCTACCCACTTTTAGAGATAGTAGAGAGGTTGTTCCCTTAAGTACTAACTTTAGGTCTTGAATAAGAGGCCCCACCCTCTCATTGGTTTGAGAGAGATTTGGTTTACTGGTTGAACCACAAACCAATTGTTCATTAGAGGATCAGTGGAACATAAGGAACAAGAAGTAACTTTA